ACGAATTGAAAGGCAGCACTGTTTATACAAATAAGTTTGCACTGTATGTACACACGAAAGTGGAATTAAACATGCACTGATAAAACGCTAAATAAATACTAAATAAATAAGTAAATAAAATAAAATGAGAGAAAATAAAGCAAAATAAAATAAAATAAATAAATAAACCCTACAGATGTTGTTGTTCAGAAAAGACGAACAAATGCATTTTTGTGTAAATGAAAAATTTCTTTAAGGATTTCCCCCCGTATGGAGTATTTAGTTTATATCAATATGATAATATAATAATAATTAAATATATATTAATATAATAATGTAATAAAGCAAAAACATTTCTTATACTGCTGCTGTGAACAGCTGAGCTGTACATACACCGCGTGATGTCCTGCATACAAAGGCAGTGTTTGGTTCTTTGGGGGGTTCAAACAGAATTATATAAATTCAATTTCAGTTCATTCCTCTGCGACAAAGAAATGCATGCATGCATGCATGCATGCATGCATGCATGCATGGTAGTTTAAGCTGCTTTTCTCTCTCTGCATCGTTTGTTTTTTTTTTATATCTTCCTCTTGGAGTTTGTAATACATTTAAAAGGCTGATATCTTCTCTTTTATTCTCTGTTAGCTAGTTGGTGTTTAGTTTATACATATGCTGACGTTAAGCAAAAACAAACACATACTAATGTATCATCTGCTGCACAACACCTGTATATGCATTGGAGGGGAGAGAGATAAAACAAAAACAAAGATAAAGAACAGCGGTGGTGTTTGTTATTCTATTTTTTTTTGTTGCAGCTCACATAAAAAGAAATAAATTTTAATAATTAATTAAATTAAACTAAAATTTATTCATTTCGCTCTGCTGCTACACGACAACACCTAGCAGGTGAATGCACTAAACTATAAAAAATTGTTTCGTTTGCGGTGAAGACATTCAGATAGAAAGAAAAATAAAAAATTATAACAACACCCCACATTAAAAGATATACTCTAGCTCCATATACACTGCTAGCTGTGTTCAACTGCATATACACCTGAACCCAGCGGTGGTTAGCTGCGGCTAGCTGCAGCTAGCTGCTGCTAGCTGTGTTGTAGTTGCGAGCCTTTCGGCTCTAGATGACGGAATTGTTTATATTTATTTTGTTTTGTAATTTGTTTAATCCTTAACACACGATAAAAAAAAAAAAAAAATTAATAAGTTTCTTGCATCGTGGTCTGAGAGCATTCTTCTCGCTATCACCCCCAGAGGAGATATAAATTTCTTGAATTTGTTTTTTTATTCATGAAATACAGAATATAACAACAACAGCCGTTGGCTGTATATAGCTGTGCTGCGTGTTCATACTTTCGCGCAGTTTGTGTGGTAACGAGCAAACACGAATAAATTTAAATAAAGAAAAATAATATTTAAATAAAAAACTACAGATTTCCCCTTTATATTCCTTCAGTTTTTATCACCACTGCTACTCTATACGCAAAGAAAAAAGAAG